AATTTAAAAAAAATGATGTGAAAAAGATGAGAACAGTTTTCTAAGAACAGTTTTTCCGGTTTTCGATCTGGTCTCACTATTTTGCCATTTTCTCCCCGAAAACTCAGTCAAATTGAGGTAAAAAGGTCATATTCGGAATCAGCACACTTTTTCCTATCCGAGTATGTGTTTTTCGTTCAAAAATAAAGACTCTCGGTAAGTTTGAATTACGCGCGCCTTAGCAGTAAATTTACTTGTGAGTATTTGAACAAGCATTTGTCAATTAAAATTACAAATGCTTTCACAAAATACTTCTTAATAATAAAACGGTCAAATGAATCTTAGTGACGCTACATTTCCAAAAGATCTTTAAAACATCATTCTGCACTAGAACAATAACTAATGTAGATTCATCTTTAATACTCTTTCTTTCTTCTAACATCAATACAGTTTCTAACAATTTTATAATTTGAAAAAGAGAGAGAAAATTAGTTTATTTTCTATCAATAACAATAGGAAAATTTGTACAAAAAATAAAGAAAAAAAAAGTTATTTTTTAATGATATATAACCCAATTTGATTCATCAGCTGGCATTAATCTTCCACTAATTAAAAGGGCAACATCAACAATCCACCACAGTCCAACACCACCGATAGTAATCATTTTAGCAACACCGATTCCAATATGACCCAAACAATAACGATCAACAGCAAACATACCCAAAAATATTGAATATAATAATGTTGACGCAAAATAATGATTTGAATATCTAAAAACGTTTAAAGATGAAATGTTTTATAAAAAATATTTAGAAGAATTATTTTACATCTCTTAAAACATAAAAAGATTCTACTTCGTGACATTGAAAGGATTTAAGAAAAATAAAAATATTTTTGAGTCACATACTCTTTAAAGTGCACTCCATTTTCCGAAATTTTTATTTAAGGAGTACTTTATTCTTACTGACACTAGTAAGTGTACAGTACTGGAACCACAACATATCACAATATATACATTATTTCTCCAATGAGCGAATAGACAAAGAATCTGCTTGACGTTTTTAAGTCGACTGAGTGAAACTCAAGGAGACTTATTGCTTTTCATCCCGAAAAATTCTTCTTTCTTTCTTTCTACACTGTTTTTCTCGTTCGAGTCAGACACTCGTTCTCAGTTATCTCTGATCGTACAGATTTAGGGAAAAGATGATTCAGAAGTAGAGAAGTGGAAGATGACACATCTCAAATTATTTTTTGAATATTTGCTTTAGTTATCATATAATTAGTGTCACAAAATGAGTATATTTTTTACACAACTCTATCGTTTTTCTGCTATGAGATAATTAATTATCACGTGATTCACGTCATAGCGAATATATAGTGCAGTACTGGATATAATGAAAGTCATACTATATTAGAACATATGACATGATAATAAATCAGCCGATATGGGAATATAGGAATTCTTCTTGAAAAGTTGTTGTGAGTTTGTGAATGTTCTACTTTTGTCTATTTACTGTTTCACTCAGTCGACTTTCCAATCTATGCGCAGCATAGTTGGTCTCTAGTTCTACATCTTACATTACTTCAATATTTATTCGTGACATTTAGAGAAGACAAAAGAGTGTACATACTTGATACAAGGTATATCTGGTACTAAAAATGTTCGATTTCCCCAACACTCAATTCCATCAAAAATTGTACAATAAACAGATGTTTTCTGTACATCTGCATATCTTTGACCACCATATTTACGATCATTACTGTCTTTTTTACTCTATAAACAAACAAAAAAATTTTAAAAAATATAGAAAACACAAAGAGTCAATGAATTCTTCTTACTTTACATGCACGACTATCGTTTATTGGAATATTATCTAATAATTCACATTCATAAAACTCGCTCGATCTAAAGTAAAGAAATTTCATATGTTACAGAAAAGAATATAGACGAATTTTGTGGTACTCTTAATCCACATCATGAAATACTTACAAATAATCACATCGAACAAGAGGTGTTAAACTGTTGTACGGTAGAGTTTCATTTGTATCTCGAGTAAATTCAAGTGAAGGTTGTTGAACAAATATCTGTTCCTTGTAACCAAAACTAGAGCATGATTTTATTTCAAAAAATAGCAGCAGTAAAAAGTAAAAAATTATCATTGATTTTTAAAATTTCAAACGAACGTTATTCAACATGATTTCTAAAAATAAAATGTAATATTTATATTGGATGTCATGAGTATCCATACGATAGTAGGGAAAGTTTGTATTCAAATTTTCTCTGCATAAAAAAGCACTAAGAGATTCTTCTTTTACCATTGGATACAATAAAATATGTGTTATATTTCAGCTTATTTTCACGTCTTAAAATCAAGTCTATCATATGTAAAAATGAACTCTTTTTAGTGTTAATCATTATTTCACGCATCAAAGGTGGTTATATAATCGCGTTTCTTGGCTAGAATATATACGATTTGAAAGAACTATCTTTTTCTCTGTCTTTCTCATAATTACTAACATACCGAAAAATGTTGCCGCAGAGATCAAGTTAAGATACAGATTTTCTCATTAAAATCGAAAGATAAAATTTTCTCCAAGACCGACAGAAAGATTCTGAACAAAACTAGCTATGTGAAAAAGTTCTTATAAAATACATTTATATCTATTCTAGCAATATTAAAATATTCGATTAAAAAGGTCAAATAATAGAAACAGAACACAGACTTTGATCCATTCTAAGGGAAAAGAGAAACTTTTTAGTTTTTTTTTCTTTCCAAAGGAAAATTAGACACAGGCTCTTTCTCGCTATCGTACGGTCACTTATGACATCCCGAGTAGATGGTATTTTTATATATTTTTCTTTGTACGTTCGTGATAACGTTTGTTTGTGGGTATGTGTATATCTGTATCAAAATGACGGCTCTACAATATTAATTAAAAACTTCTTATGCAATAAATAGATCATTGCTACATTATAAAACCTTTTAATTTTATCTTAGTCTTAAAAACTGTCTAGAAACTACGTGAATGATTATTCACAAACTAAGCTTCGTGGAATGAAACTTTTAAGTACTCACTAGCGATTTAGTACTCCTCATAAGAATTGGTTCTTCTACAGATCGATCACACCCCCTACTGTGGTGTGTGTGGAGTGTGAGTGTGAGTGTGTGATCGATCTGTAGAAGTACCTTCTTTTGCTATCCCTTGTTCCTATGTCAAATGAGGGTAAATAGTATTAGTTCGATTGACAAAACTGACAGCGATGAAACTACAACTCTGAAGTAGCCACAAAATATTTTACCAAAATAAATTAGTTTAATTTCAATTAAATAGTTTAATTTCGTTTCTTACAGAGGAAAAAATATTTGACATTTTTGGATCAGTGACAAAAAGGACAAACGGTTATGTATTATGACTGTTCGTTCAAATGATGAGAAGAGAAGGAAAAAACAAAATGAGAATCCTCAAATGGATTTTTCTTAATGTGATTTCAAAGTGGAAGCGTATTCTGTTCTCGCTTGATCTGCCGATTGTTAGAAACAGTGTTTCGAAGCATACAGACTTATGGATTTTTTCATCTACTAGTTTCAACTGCTTTCCTTAAACGGAAGCATACAGTTTTAAAATTTTGCTTAATGAATACATTCATTCATCTCATTCTTTTACGGGTAGGTGAATTTGTGAGCCAATTAGCGAGAATTGAAAAGATGTCGCACATATTTAGACAGACAACCCATATCTGTGAGTATTTTCAGACGATTAGCCTATACAACACTGATGAAAATTGTCAAATCTAATGACACAGGGAGATAAACAAAGGAATTGTCGACTCTATCGTCTCTTCTTTCAATCAATGGATTTGGCTGACTTATTATAGACTTAAGTGTCGGTTACAATTGTACTAATCTCTCATACACCTGATGCACGATTTTAGCCAAATTCCAGAAGTAATTGTAAAACAAATCGTGCAAATGTTTTCTATCTAAATTCTGCCGATAGCGTCTCTCGTAGTTTGTGAAAGCTTTTATTTAAATTAAGTGCACTATTCCATCATTAGTTTAAGAGTTTTTGATGATGCGGTTATCCGATATTGACGGATTCATCAAAATCGAGATACATATATATTTCATAAACACTGGATCCACATGAGACACATAGGCAGTCTTCTGGTTTCACAATAAAATGGCTCTGATTATCAAAATTATTTATTTCAAAACTAAAAATTTGGCTTAGTGTATGTGCATTCAGATCACAGCAATAACACTTTTGGCATCTTAAATTCTATTCTCTAATTTATAAACCCAGACGTGCGCGATTACAATTACAAAATGTAAAGTTCAAACATTGCTATTATCTGTAGAATTAAGAATTCTAGAATTCTGAACTTTACATGTATGTAAAGTTGAACTTTACTTGTTCAGAATTCTAAAATTCTTAATTCTGGGGGTGAGTGTAGGTGTGGATGTGAGGGTGAGCGTGATTATGCAACTTTACATGTATGTAAAGTTCAGAATTCTAGAATTCTTAATTCTATAAAAAATGGCAGTGTATGAACTTTATATTTTGTAATTGCAATCGCGCCGCCCTCTATAAACCTTTTGCTGTTGTATTGCAACTCTAAATCAATCTAATCGAGAAAGGACAAGTGGCGGTAAGGTCATTTTTTCGCCCAAAACATTTAGGGAAAAAACTATATGGTTAGAATCAGCATTAAATTCTGAACAAAACGGTATATTTCTTTTTGAAAAAAATAACTTTTTATTTTTTTTTATTGTTTTTTTTGTTTTTCACTCTAATTTCATCTAGACATAGGTTATCGACCACGCTGATCACGAATATAAGGCGTGTTTTGCATAAAAATATGATTTGAATGAAAAAACTGCCTCCTCTGACAAAGGTAATTTTTTTACCTTTGTTCAGAAATCACTGTCTTCCAACCCTAAAAATCAGTTTATAATAGCAATAATACTTTACTGTACAAACTGTCCGAAAATAGACAGTTAATAGCACTGTCATGTAATGACCGTTTTTACAACATTACTGGCTGTTAACGATCAATTATCGAACGTTTTCTTTGATTAATTTCTTTTTATTAGTACTCCAAATATAGTGATTTCCGAAATTTTTGATATTTTGATTCCTTAGATTCACGTTGCCATCAATGGCACCAGATCCAGAATCAGCGACGACTTCCAGTAGACAAGTTTCGATGAGTTGTACAATTGGGAAAGAGAAAAATTTACAAATTTCTTCCAAATTTCGGTAATATTTATATACAATAAATACATCAGTCATGGTTGCAAAATAAAAGGGTGAATGAAACAGCCATTTTAAATGTCAATTTTTTCACTGTATATTTTACAATTGAGGAATGGCCTGTTAATAGCCATTTAACTGTGACAGTTATTTTACATTTTAGGGTGCACAGTTAAATGCATGTTTTTGCTATTATAACAGCCAAAAAATTTACAGTAAACATTTACTGTAAACTGCCTTTTTTTCAACATTTTATGGTATGTTAAATGCCTTTTCTCGAGCCTTCATCAACAATCGTATAACAGACAATAATTACCGGGCAGCTTTTTAACAGTTATTTGAGTGTTAAAAGCCAGTTTTTTTGGTATAAATTTAAAACGCATTACATGGCTTATTGAATATCAGTTATGTTTCACCTGGGGAGATAAGCCATACTTTTATTTTATCGATTTTGTTGTTAGGTTGTTATCGATCAGGTTGTTCATACACCTTTTTGAGCGAAATTAGCTGTTATATGGAAAGTATTGATACGATACTTGTCGCAGCCTTACTGACAAAATAGTGTTGTCAGCAACAATCATAACAACTCCGACAATGAATGATTAGTAACCGATAGAAAAAAAGGTTAGTTCTTTTCCTATTGTAATTTTGTTTCTGTTTTTGTGTTTTTATTTATCTTTGTGATGGGAAGGAGGTCTCACCGATGCAGATAGTGATGACGATGCATTCACACTTAGCACACGTTATTGACAATAACAAAATCATCGCATCGTCATGATATAAATGGCTCGAACGAGATAAAATTACAGTTGGAAAAGAGTATCAGATCACGTTTTATTGTGCCTTTTTTATTCAGTCTTCCTTTGAGATTAGATGAATACAATAAAAAAGTCAAAAAAGATAAAAAATAGCCTTGTATTGTGTCAATAGTGTGTATTGTATTGAACAAGACTCATCGTTTTACAAGCTAGACCTGAAAGTAGCTTGAACTTGAACTTGAAATTTGGAAATGAAACAAAAACACACTTATATGAATAGGTGAGCACGTAATGCTCGTTTCGCAGCATTACCGGTTTGACATGATACAACAATATTTGGCAACAGCGGTACGGTAGAAAAAAGAAGAAGCAACATGTTCTTTCGATACTGTCGGTGTCTCAACCTGCATACTATTCTAGAGTATCCATGCGCTCAATACCGGCAAAACACCGCCCGGTAACAGGCGATATATCGTGACATTACCAATTATGTAAACGCAAAAATAAACGTTGACTAGAAAGTTGACTTGGGGCATGATTTATGTCCCCCCATCTGACATCTTTAATCTTAATCAAGTTATTGGATTGATTGCATTGTGCACGAAAAAAATTTTATTTAACAAACTTTTTACAGATCCTTGCAGAGAATCGAACGGCGAATCTTTTCAAAAAACATTCATTCCAGAGGACGTGAAGGTTTGGGGAAAACTTGAAAATACAAATCCTCTCATTCTTTATGCCGTACTTATTAGAATAAAAAAGAATTGTTTTCATGAAAATAGATGGCTTCTAAGGGAAAATGTATATATCTTCCATTTTGCAAGTCAATTAATTAAGAGAGAAATATAGACTTTTTTTCCTTCTAAGTAACGAAACGCAGTATAATTAAGTATTTTTATTCATGAAATCTTCAAAAAGAAAAGAAAAGTGTTGACAGAATATAATTTCAGGCGTCCTTCTTTCCACTAACTTCAAAACTATACTTATACGCTTGATATCATGACTAACGTGCGTTATAGAGTTATAGATTCGCTGAAAGCTTGGCTTGAAAAGTATGATTCGCTTTTTTTAAAATTTTGCTTCACTGCTGAGAAAATTCATTTTTTCTAAATCAGATTTTGGACTTCTGCTCGTAATTCTCAATTTTCTCAATCAGAACTCAACTTTTAAACAATAAAAATATCATTTCACGTTGAAAATTACCGAGCTTTTCACTCTAAAGTGAAAAACAGCTAAAAATTTCGAAATACAAATTTGTCTACTCAGTTTTTGATCGTGATTTCGAATATGACATTTTTATTGCATAAAAGTTGAGTTTGATTGAGATAATTGAGAATTACGGGTAGAACTCCAACATCTCATTTCGAAAAAATGCATTTTCTCAGCCGCGAAGTAAAATTTTAAAAAAAGTTAGTCATTTTTCTCTGGTCATATTGTTACAATAGAGTACTGTTTGAAAGCCCCGAAATAATAAACACAATAGCAGATTATGTAAGGATTTTAATATGTTTTATGCAGCAGTCATTTACGAATTTATTTGTCGATTATTGAATACTGCTCTTCCATCTTTTTACCTGTTATAGACGTTGGATCAGGAAATACATTGCAAAAAATATCTTTTAACTAAATATCAATAACTTTTTTCTTTTATGATGTCTTCTAGGTGAATATAATTCGGTTGATAACAGCTTTATAGAGGAAGCTATACCAATAGCCCCATGTCCATATATACAAGAGAACAAAAATAAAGAATGAAGAAAAATAATTTTTCTTTCTTTGCTGCTTTAACCGAAGTTTTCTACAAAACAAATCTTTTGTCTTGTAAACTGGTTGAAACTAGTTCAGCTTTTTTTCAAACTAATTTTAACTAACTAAACTAATGTTTTACTATCCATGGAAAAATTTTGTCGAAGTTTCACGACGTTGGGATTGCAACATCAAATACGTGATCATATATGAACTTCCTATAATTTCACATGCGTTCACAAATGAAAATTTCTTTTCACGTGTGTTCACACACCGTTACACGCCGTTGCACTATGGGCAACCAGGTGGACATTAGGTGAAAAATCGAAAGTGCACTTTTGCAAGATTCAATTAGTGTTAGATTTACTTCGGACTATGGACTACTTAATGGCATTTAAAGTTTTACTACAAAGTTCAAGTAGAGTGGAAAATGAGCTAATTGAAAATGATTAAAAATCAGCCTGAAAATAGCGCCATCTATATAGCACATATTTTTTTTCACAAAATACACTGACGTGACAACCAAAAACAATATATATTATAAATTTGCCTAATGTCCGCTACCGATTTATAAAACAAAAAGTGGTCAATTACTATTGAAGATTTCTGAGAAAAAAAAATTATTTTTTATAGGGCTTTTCCAAACGGCTATATTAGTAAAATGATCGTCCCCTCCAGCCCCCAAATTGAAACTTATTCAAACTTTGTCAGAATGTTCTCCCATATGTCCTCTCTCACCGTAGTTAGCGCAGAATAGCGCAAATACTCCTGGACTGAGTTATAGGTTTACAGACAAACGTGGGTTTTTGACATAATTTCAAGTTTTCTCTTTTAGGAAGCATGTATATTGAAAAATAATGACATATTCGGGATCAGCGCAAAAATCTGCATCGAATGGTATATAATTTACCATAAACGTTTTTTTGTAGAAAAATGCTTTGATCAAAATAGCATTATCATTATCGCAGCAAATTTTGGATGGGTATTTGGATATTCATTTTAGCAGCGGGGCGAAAGTCGATAAACACGTTTTTTTATAGGTTTTCGAATAAGCTCTTTCCAATGGTGAGATTTTCGACATCCAAAAATATTTTTTGGGGGGTTTTCTGGAGATCCGGTCTTCCGAAAACCCAGAAGCAACTATTTTTGGATGTCGAGGATCTCACCATTGGAAAGAGCATATTCGAAAACCTATAAAAAAACGTGTTTATCGACTTTCGTCCCACTTCTACAGCATATGTCTACGGCATGCCTAGTCAAAATTGTCCACTGTGCGTTGGACGATTTTCACTAATGACCACGTGCGAAAAATATGACGAGAAAAGTTTCCGTGAGCAGTTCACGCGTTGTCACAAATGAAATATATTTTTCACGTGTTCCCGCACACCATTTTACGATGTTCACGTATGACCACAGTTCATTTCACGATATTTACGGGTATGCACGCCGTTTTATATACTAAAATTTTCTCATGGGTAGAGCAACATTTTGGTAAAAAAGAAAGAAAACTTTGCTTATCGACTTTGAAATTAGAGTTAATAGCATTTTACTGAATGAAATAGATAACCGTATATCTTACAAACCAACCAGTCAAAGGGACTCAAACTTGTTGACTAGCCAATATTTAGTAAATATTATAACTAATAAAATTTAAAATTTAACAGTTCACGGGCAGTAATTACTGACATTTTTTATTTTTAATCTACCATTAATAGTTCCAAAAAAATATAATGTTTCATCTCAATCTGTTCTACAACAATATCGAAATGAATTAATCACTTACACAACTTTAAAATATAAAAATCTCGGTCCAATCTCAACTTTATCCGACACAGATCAAGACTCATTAGAAGTAGGTAAAACAAAAAGATCTCTCACATAAGAATTTAAATTGATTATATTCATTTATAGTAGGAGAATGGAACCTCGATATTTGAAATATTACCTTCTAAGTATTGCATTTTCTCTCAGGTATTACGTTGTGAAACGTCTTACTGACCATGATGTAGATCACTAGAAATTATTGTAAGCATATATTAATACAATTCATCAAGAATATAAATTTTCAAATAAAATAAAAGAAATTATTGAAAAACGCTTGGAAGGTGGACGACTGAGTCTTTTTTATCGATTGAACAGGAGTCGATTATGTCTCAAAAAACCTGAACAAAAATGTTGCAAAGAAATTCACATAGATTTGTTTGATTCTATTATGAATAATGCATTGGCACAAGATTTTGATAAACCATGTGATACGTTAAGTTTCTAATTTTTTTATTTCAAAAATATTTTCATCTATAGAAAAAAGTTTTGATTTGTCTTTTTTTTATTGTCTAGGTTTTTTGCCTCTCTTTTCCTTAACTGGCTTAGCTGCTTTTTTGATAGAAGCATTTTTGAAAGTTGCTTGAAATACGTTTATTTTTTCATCGCTTGATGATACAAACCACACTTGATCAAATGCATGACGTTGTTGTGTATTGTTATCCCCATTTAATGGCGAATGTAATTCTTCATTAAATAATTCGGCAATTTTTGACACATCATTTTTAAATGCACCGGTACCAATAGGACCTAATATTAGATATGTATTTGAACCATCTCCATCACTATTTGCTTGAGCTGCACGAACCAACGTACGAAATTTTTCACGCGTGCTCTCTATGGGTCTTGATGGTATACGATAGAGGCCGTGTTGTTTTGTCAAATCATAACAAGCAGCGGCTATCACACTAAATAAAAATTAATTAGTGTAGAAAAATGTCAATAGAAACAACATATCATTTAACTAAAACAATGAACGTATATTAAAATGATAACTCACTCAATTTTTCGATTTTTTTTCTCGTCACCTGTAGCAAAAAATGTAACATTTTTTATATAAAGTACACCATATTCTGGTATCATAAAACCACCATTGAATTTTTTATATTTATAATCCATCAAGGCCCGATATAAATCGGAATTATAGCATATTGTTTCCTCTTGAGTAGTGGCACCAAATAAAAATAAACCTGCAAAAGAAAAATCTTATTAGAATAGACGTTTAGTAAAAAGTGAAACTTATTCTCATCGTATTTAGAAGACTAAGGTTGTTTAATATTTGTGATGAGCACATGGATCTGATAGCCGAGTAACAAAGATTCACGAAATGAGATTTTTCTAACTATTTGAACGAAACAAGATGGATGATTGTCTGTTGAGGTTAACTAGAAACATTAATTAATAGTAGAATAGAAAAAGAATACCTCCTGGCATTCTTTCATCCGCAAAATCGAGTACAATAACTTGTTTTCCCTCTGGTACACTGAATACGGCTTGTTCAATTCTTGATTGTTCTATATGAATTTGTCCTGCATTTTGTCTCATTCTAGTTGGAAATTGTTTCATGTTTATTTGTGCATCAGCATCACTAAATCCGGGTACTGTCGAGTTTGCATACGGAATATTATCGATTTGAATATAATTAAAATATACTTTCAATTCTTCTAATTGAAATCCATATCCACGATGAATATCCAATAGTTTTCGTGCTTCTTTTGGTTTTACATCAATGATCGTTGAGTCGGATCTAATTTCCCAATATGATTCATAGAGACCATCTGTTGCCGTTATATCACGTTTAAACAAGTCAGTTTTTGTGGATATATCGTATTCTTGTTGTACATTGTTCCAATTGATTCCACTTGTTGTTGATCTGCGTTTTTGATAACATTTTTCAACCAACTGTAGTATTCGTTCATCATTGATAGCTTTTAGTACTAACAAATATTTTAACATAACCTTACGTGCACCATGTTTATCGACTCGCTCCTGACAGTCAGCATCGTTTGGAGCAAATGCAATTTGTACTATACTCGATATTTCACGTTCACCTAACGCCGAACATGGAACGTACATTGGATTGTTAGTAACTTCTTCAACTAGTGTGGGTCGTTGATCCGCAACTAAAAGTTTCATAGCCGAAGCCATTGCCATTGCGCTGGAGATAGATTTTCTGTTTTCACAACGATTTTGTCTTTGAGTATCTGAGTATGTGTATGCGAAGTCGTTAAAGCGTATCTTTTGGTGTACAGATCGGTAGTTACACACATACTACTTTAACGAATATTTCTGTATCTATAACATAATTATTCATACAGACTACCTTGAAATACAGTCATATGACGCTAAGCCTTTTATCACAAAATCAAAGCAAAATCTGCAATAATCAAGGGAGAGTTCCCTTAGATTTGGTTCAAACTTTGCCACTTTGTAGCGGACACTTCAGAATATATCTGAAAAGCGTTTGGAGGTTTACAGACTTGTAGTTTTCTGAAAAAAATTTTGAATTTTTTTCGGCCGTTTTTGTCCATTTTTTAAAATTTAAATAAAATTATTATTTTGTAGTTTGAAACCTCGGTTTTGTAACCAATCGATAGGACGCATCGAGATGTATATGTGAAAAGATTGTCATCGTTCTCGAACAAGGTTTGGCGGAGAAGTCCGGATTTCACCATGAGAAAGGGTTTGGGGGGGGGGTCAAAAGTGTGTGTTTTCGAGATCTTGTCTACAGTTTCTATGCGGGGAAGCATTTTGGAGCGCATGTGGGTGCAGAAGTTGTTTATCATGTTTTTTTCTATGGGATAATACATTGCTGTTGCTAAATTTCTTAAGGTTAATCTTCAACATTGAAAATACTGAGGCGCTAACTACTGCGGAGCAAAAGTCGCTCAAATTTTTACGCTACTTTCTCTTTTCTTCAGAGCCAGAAGATAGTGTTCAGAAAATCTTCAACTCATAAACATAGACACTTCCACATATGAAACTGAACGAAAATGTCAGAAATAGAAAAAGATAAAGATTTTCAGGTTGGTTTTTCAGAGTTCTGGAGCCAAAATCGTCGAGGACCTTGAACAAAGTTTCGTTTGAAGGAAGCATTTTCAAGGAAAATGTGTAGACACGAAAGTTGTTCAGTATCAAATTCTCTAACATCTCAAGAGACGAATTTTCAAATTTCCCTAAACTAGCTTTATAAATTCAAAAATACTATATTTAAACATTTAAGTTTTCATAAAATTCAATTTAAAAAGCTAATTTTGGGAAATTTGAAAGTTTGTCTCGTGAGATGTTAGAGACTAATTCATCCGGGAACGATGAACATTATTTTATATACATAATTCAATGTGAGCTATTGAATGGCAGTAAATTCAGTCGTCCATCTGGGAAAATTTTATTTCAACTTTACAAATGAAGAAAGAAACCTGAATAAAACTTAAAAATAAATTTTCTTTAAAACTACGGTTTCGGAACCGAAAATAATTTTGAAATATATGTTTCGAAGTGTCCTCTACAAATTAGACGAAAGCAAGACTCCCCTTAAGTAAAGCAAAACGCTTAATGAAATATTTTCATTATGCAAAATCATTCATCCTTCGCTTTAGCAACTTCCAACACAACGAATAATTTTGGACTTGTGGTGGAGTCATTAAAATGTTTTACAAATTAACAATTTTTCATAGATCGTTAACACCCTTTTAGTCAGCATACAATCTTATAAACGAAAAATAAACGTTAGTAGTAAAAAAAACTGATTTTTTCAAAAAAACTCATAATAAAGTTTTGATAAACTCATAAGTCTAGTTATTTACTTTACTCATTGTACGTACAAAGTAACAAGAAAAAGCATTAATGCCATCAACAGGTATAACTAATTTCTGTAATGAGTTAATACACTGACAATTTTTTGGTATGATTTTATATGCTAACTTAAACCTCGAAAAAGTCGTTTCATAATGAATATTTTTTCCATAAATATCGCAGTCAAAAAGTTTGACCAGGATAAGATAATGGCACAAGGTTAACACTTTCTGCAATGATACTAGATAAACAAATGGAATCATTCGTTATAATTCGACTTATAAGCCGAAATGTAATCATTCAAGGTGGCTAACAAAAGGTGACTAACAAAAGAATTATTAAAAACTACTGAACCAAACTACTGAAGTAGACGAACGCAAGTTAAGTACAGGCGTTAGCTTAATTTTCTTGCTGCATCTTTAAAAGTTAGATTTATAGTTCCAAGTATTTCTCAATATTTTGATGATATTTGTTCAATATAAGTAATGAGTATTCGTTACATCTATCTGTCACGCACTCTAATGTTTTTCCTCTTAAGTTAATGTCAGATCTTCTTAAATTCTGATCTTTCAGTAAAAAGTCAGAATCCAAAAGACTTTCAATGATGCTGCCTTGTAGATTAAACATTTCTGGCTAAAATTTGACGTTTACCCACATTACGGGATGCTTTGATTAAAAGTTATGCCAGTTTTACCAAGAGCTGTTGATCAGTAGGTTGGATGGTGATCGTCGTGTGTGTTATGTATATTTCAACTGATTTTTGAAATTTTTATTAACAAAAAACAGAGGAGAGAAGATTAGTATTAAAATGCTAAAGCGCTTTCGAATTTTTTCGTTAGTAGGAAATAAGTAAAACACACGCGAAAAACAGTATTATATATAGGAGACTAGTACAAAAATTCAGTGGGTTATATTATGAATCATGTCTTTTTACATAGAGAAAACGAAAAAATAGGAACTTATGACAACAGATTACAAAATTAAATAAAATCAGAGAGTGCAGCAGAACAGGATAAAAATGTGAGTGTTATACAAAGGTGAATGAAAGATTACAAATCAACACAATCAAAATATATAAATATAAAAGATGGAGGAATATTGTTAAATATATATATATTTTGTGTATATATACCCATATATCTGATACATATACCTGTATATGAGTGAATCGTATATTAATTGTACAATTGGTTGTTTAGTACCGTTTCTGCCATAAATCTGTAGTGGTTTGTCGGATTCCTAAAATTTTTTTTTTTTTACTCATCTCATCACCTCTCGCTACCGATAAAATTTTGAGCATTCTATGTTTTCAGGTGAGTGAGATACACGCTTGAAAAAGCAGAAAAACGCGTTTTTACCTTGACTAGCATGACTAAAAACGCGAGTTTCACATCAAAGACAGATAATAAAGAAAAAGCAGACCAGTGGATCGTGTAGAGCGCAAAATTCTCTATCCATCCATATCATTTACGATTTCGCTTCAGCACTTTGGCACAGATTTTTTTGGAGAATTAAGTTTTCCGTACAAATTGTAGGGAGACGCCAAAATCGGTCTGACGGATTCAGGCAGCACTTAAGCGTAAAATTGATTACACCATGAGATAGAGCATCAAAAACACTCCGGAAAACACACAAAAGTATTTTACTAAACGCCTATTAAGTGGTCCAAAAATGACTAAGTTCAGGTTTTTCACTCAGTTTGTAGGGGGAGATTTTGGAACTTGCGTTGCCCATAAGTCAATGAGATTGTATCTAAATTGTTTTAAACTTTCAGAACCAGAAGCAGGTAGGAAGTTATATGAGTGGTAAAAATTTCAGCCCTTAAAGTTGATGTCTTCCTAGTAAATTTCGCGTTATGCCGCAAAATGTAGGGAGACTTTTTTTGTAGGGAGAGATTCGTTTCGAACTTTTTTCCTATTCATAGCTGTGCAGAACTGAAAAAAGTAAACTTTAATGGGTTTTCGAACACGCTCTTTCTAGTAGAGCAAACAGAACTACGTAAAACAAAAGCTTTGGAAGTATTTATCAATAAGCCG